CACAACACCACACACCACCCATTCCACATGAAGGCAACTAATATTTCAAAAGAGTTTGGGAATGATCAACAAATACATCTGTTCACTGGAAGATAAGGGAATTGGATTTAGAAATGACAGGTGACAACAAACTCGTAGGAAGGGTCACATGCATCATCTTTGGAGTCAGGAAATTAAGGATTTCACGGGCCTCTGTGCAACTTCTAGGCTGGAAGTCTGATGCAGTACTGAGGGGCTGTTACACTACTGGATGTTGTCAATCAGCTGAGACCTTAAACCAAGGCCCCAGTTCATCCTCAAGTCAATGTAAAATGTCCCATATTGAAGAAGAATGAGGTCGTTTTTCAGTGTCCTGGCCAATGTTTATGCCTCAACCAACGTCACAGAAATAGATTGTCTGGTCATTAACTCATTGCCATTTGTGGGAGCTTGCTGTATGCAAATTAACAGCCACGGACAGCATGGTGGCTCAGTGGTTAGCACTGCTGCCTCACAGCGCCAGGGACCCTGGTTCGATTCCACCCTCGGGTGACTGACTGTGCGGCGTTTGGACATTCGCCTTGCATCTGCAAGGGTCCCCTCTGGGTGCTCCGGTTTCCTCCCACAGTCCAAAGATGTGTAGGTCAGGTGGATTGGCCATGAGGAAATGCAGGGTTACAGGGATAGGGTAGGGGTGCGGATCTGGGTGGGACACCCTTCGGGGCTGGTGTGGACTCAATGCGCTGAATGGCCTGCTTCCACATGGTCGGAATTCTATGATCTTGGTCGAGGGATAATTATTGGCGTGGGTCTACAGGAAAGCTCCCCCACTCTTCTTCAGAAAAGTTATGTGGGATCTATGCTGCCCAGCTGAGAAGGCACACAAGGCCTGTGTTTAACACCTCAGAGGAGATGTAACCTCGAATAATGCAGCACTCTCTCCAGAGAGTGCCAGTCTGGCTGATGAATTCCAGTTCTGGAGAAGGCTGTACGTATCTTTGTTTGAGTGTTGCCTTCCTCAAACAGAGGAGGAGAAAGCATGTGCCTGGGGGTTGGTGGTGGGAGTGTGGGGGACAGGGTTAACAACTGTTTTCCCTGCTTGCTTCAACCTAGAGAGATTTGCCATTACCCATTGATGCAACTAAGCTTACAATGACTGCTGCCCATGCTGTTTATGGGAAACATTATGACAATGAACATAGATTTCAATGAAATTGTTCAAGACTCATCAAATGCCACTGATTCACCAGACAATTACACACCCCCCTCCCCTCCAACACTAAAATGTAGGCTCAGTCTATATTCTCTCTGCGGATATCATTAAAATAAAATTAGCTTCCCTATATTTTCATCGGTGCTTGAAAAGCAGTATTTATTGATTTGAGGCAAATTAACATTAATTGCCCACCGAAAACAAACAGCTCAGTTGCAAGACAAATAAATAAAAGATTGTGCAGGAGGCAGGCTCCATGATTAATTCCATTGTGTAGATGAAAAAAAGACCCATTGCTTTTGGAAGAGCCTGCAGCATAATTCCTTGTTAGATCGTAAAATTCACACTAATGCTTGCAAACAGCATGTTTGGAGTGCAATTACTGCACCCCTTGCAGGAATAAACCTTAAGTAGAGCCAGATAATGTTTCTTAATGAGAGGGTATCCAGTGAGTGATGTTTGTTATCACCTGCCAACTGGATTGCCATATATCCAAGTATCCATTTGCTGAGGTGCAGGATTATTTTGAGAAGTAAAGGGTGTCAAGCACATACTGTATAATATTTAATTCTCTCAGTCACACTGATAGAAGCAATGAACCCTTGAAGACCATCCCGTTAAAACCCTTCTGTTGTTGGTAACTGGCCTGGGATGTTAAGGACTCCATTCTGTTTCCCAGCCCCTTTCTTCTCTCCCAGTCTGGTCCCTCCAGCCCCTCGTTCTCTCTCTCTCCCTCTTCTCCTCCATAGTCCTCTCCACATCCTGTACCCCAGACCAGCACCACACCCTTATTCCAATCCCTAGCCCCTACCCATTCTGTTCATCAATGCTTCCCTGTTCTATTCACTAACCTTCTCCTCATTCTACTCCCCAGTCACTCCTGATCTTTTCTCCCTCCAGTCCCTATATTCTAGTCCGTAGCCCTTTCTCCATTCTGTTCCTCAGGACCTCCCTGACTCTACACCCACTCCACCATTCCTCTACATATCTTTCTACATGGCTGTTTTTGATGTGGTGCCCTACTTCCATTTAATCCTTTTGGGAGAGGAATTAAGAAGCATTTCAAGGAAGCAGGGCAATTAAAACCTTGGCTCCCTCTCAATTAGAATTTGTTTCATACAGACCATGTGCTTGCCTTTGCTGCAGCCCTGGCACTGACCTGGGTTTTCCGATAGTCAGTCATAGAGTGGTACAGCACAGAAACAAGCCCTTCAGCCCAACTCGTCCATCCCGACCAGGTTTGTTCCATAACTGACAACCCCCTGCCATTGGATCCGACAAATCCCATTCGTGTCCAGGACACCGACTCTCGAACCCTAGTTTCTCCCATTCCAGCTTGACACCCCTGCCCTGCTGCCCAGGCCTGGTCCATCCCCGTTTTGAACCTGACATTTCTCCGACACTGCTGGATCCTCACATTCCCCCTCCCATTGCCTCCTCTGACCTGTTATCTCCCAATCACCAGGACTGATCCTAAGCACACCATCGCCTAGTGGCCTCTCTGCACGCTGGCATTCTACATACCTGTCACCCTAACCACTTGGCTTCCCCCCCAACCACCCTGGCACCCTACCCCTACCACTAGCCACCTGTCACCCTACTTACCTGGCACCTTAACCTCACAATTACCTTATGGACTTTCCGTTTGATGCAGTTGTCAAAGTGACTGTCTGCGACTCCGAATCTTTACGTTTCAGATTCCAGCAGCTAGGGGCATATGGTTTATCTTCCTTTCTCAGTTCTACACTAGAAAGATGTAGCAGAATGGAAGGACGATTCCACATTTCTGAGGGAGCCTGGTGTTTAATCACCTCTTAGAAATATGGAGCGCTTTTGTGGTGTAAAAATGAGGTAAGGAGGCATTGTGCGAGAGAGGCTGCCACTTTTGGGAAAATCTGTCCCATGTTTTTCCGAATCTCAGTTTTGAATTTAGTTTGACTTTTGATCGAGGGAGCAGGTGCCATGACTGAAAGAATGACACTCACTGAGATTTAATGAAGGTTTAATCAAAGGCTCTTCTTACTGCTGCTCCATGGAGTATTTGACTACGCAGCTCTGAAGGGGATGTAGAACATGGTATTGTTTCTCATCCAAGTACTGTGTAATGTTGAATACCCAAGCCCTCAGTCTGTGACCATAACAGCTGGAAAGCCACAGCCAGATTAGCCATAATCTAGTACCAGAGCAGCTCATGGGGAAGCAGTCCCAGTGCAGTGCGAGGGGGAATGAATCCTGGAGCAGCGCGAGGAGAAGTGAGTCCTGGAGCAGCGCAACTTGCCTTGGTGCAGCTGAGTGCCGGTGCGGACCAGACTGGAGGCTTGGAGCAGAGTGGGACAGATGTTGGGTCGTCAGGTCCACATGCTGAGCTGCTGCTGTTTGAAATTCTTTACCAGACTGTAATGTCAATCCTTTGACTATATTATAGCCGTCTCATTTCTGACTTTTTTTTAGACACTGTAAGTAATGCTACTACCTTGCCTTTCATCCCTCGTCTGTATCCAAGATTTGTACCCAGGCACATATACCTAAGATGGCGCCATTAAAGGCAGCCATTGTAAAAACTTTTCAATGTACTCCTGTACTGGAGTACATGTGAAAATAAAGAATATTCTATTCTATTTATTGGTAGAGCAGGTTGGAGAGCTGAATAACCTACTCCAGATCCTAATTTATATGGCCTTGGCTGATTAGAAATGGTTCAGAAGACTGGGGAAGTTAGTAAACTCATGTCTGTTGGGCTTAGCTGTGTCTCAAGGTGGGCATAGAGGTGTGAAGAAACCCAACTGATGTTAAGAACTTGGGAAGTAGAACTGGGTTCAATTAGTTCCCGTCTTATCTCTGAACAGAAAGGTTTATTCCATATTGTCCAATCAGTAATTTCCCCAGCGCAGTTCACTAAAATTATCACCATTACAAAAGTCAGCTGTTACCCCTCCCTATCTCAGAAACTACTTCCAGCTACAGTCTGTAATAATATGAGGGCTATGCTGTTGGACAGCAACAGGTGTTATTGACGATGAGGATATCGTGAGGTTGGTGTGAGAGGACATTTTACTGGGATTCCTACAAGCCCAGGCTTCAGTACATGGTCATTAAAATATGTGCAACGGTAACCTTCCAATTCTGACCTCATGTGTGCTGCGGATTTTAATCACACCATAATTAGTAGGTGTGCCTTCAAGTGTCTCAATCTGAAGAATTATCCCCCCCTTAAACATCTCCATTTGTGGTTTAGTGTGGTTTTGTGTCTGGTAATTCCCTTGTGAAACTCTTCGGGAATGTGTCACCATATTAAGGTGCTATGATAAGTTGTTGTTAATTTTGGAGCTGGCAGGACAGGGTTGCATTCCAAGTTTGTGAGTGACCTGGTTGTTTCTGCCAGAAATCAGGGTGAGGTTTTAAAAATCAGTAGGATAGTACAAGTCACCTTCTCAAGAAAGATCTCGTCACAAATATCCCACAATAAAAGCTGTCCTGATTGGGGTATATCTTAATTTGAGACTGTTCCCATTGTTGAGAATTCCTGGTGGTTGAGGGTTAGATGGAAGGTCTTGTTTGAGGGTCATTCAATGTAGAGTGTTTCACGCTGTGTGTGTGAAATAGGAAGGGTTTAAAGAGATATAGGCCAAATTCTGGCAAATGGGACATGTACAGATGAGGATATCTGGTTGGCGCAGACGAATTGGACCAAAGGGTCTGTTTCCGTGCTGAATAACTCTATGACTCTATGATTCTATAAATGGAAGCTCCAAACCTGATTCTGTTGACTTTGACATGACGACCTGTCTTTTTTTGTTTCCTTTTGCAGTGGGAAGAGGTGAGCGGTTATGATGAAAACCTCAATACCATCCGCACCTACCAGGTCTGCAATGTCTTTGAGTCCAACCAAAACAACTGGCTGTGGACCACTTTCATAAACCGTAAAGGTGCCCATCGCATCTACGTGGAGATGAGGTTCACTGTGCGAGACTGCAGCAGCATACCCAATGTCCCGGGATCCTGTAAAGAAACCTTCAACCTGTACTATTACGAGACTGACTCGGGCCTGACTGTGCAAGGTGCGGCACTGTGGACCGAAATGCCGTACCTCAAAGTGGACACCATCGCTGCGGATGAGAGCTTCTCCCAAGTGGACTTTGGCGGCAGGCTGATGAAGGTCAACACCGAGATCCGCAGCTTTGGCCCGCTGAGCAAGAATGGCTTTTACCTGGCCTTTCAGGACTATGGCGCCTGCATGTCTCTTCTCTCCGTCCGGGTCTTCTTCAAGAAATGCCCGAGCGTCATCCAGAATTACGCCACCTTCGCTGAGACCATGACAGGCACAGAGAGCACCTCACTGGTCATTGCTAAGGGCACCTGTGTGCAGAATGCCGAGGAGGTTGACGTGCCCATCAAGCTGTACTGCAACGGCGACGGAGAATGGATGGTGCCAATTGGGAGCTGCACCTGCAAGGCGGGCTATGAGCCAGAAAAGGCGATGGCATGTAAAGGTAAGATCTGCCCACGTACACCAGGGCGGTGGTGGGAGGGCAAGGGCGAGGCTCTCTATGTGCCCTTTCAGCATTTTGTCATTCAATGCATGTGTTACTGGACCTGACGGGAAAAGGGAGGTTTATTTGTGAGAACATTGATATTGGACGATCAAGCCAATTGAACTTGAAGTGCGTTAGAGTAGCAGTGCTCAGTATCTTTGAGTGAAGGATTATTGAATGTTGTGCAGTGAAGATGTGATTCGATGAAAGACAAGAATGTGAGGAGCAAGTGGAGTATTGAGCCGACGGACTGCGCATACGTGCTCCATACGTTGTGATATACAATCTGCGTATGTTCCATTCATTGTTATTGTACCTTGTGACTCCTCCTACACCATTACTTCAGCATGGTGTCACTGTAGGACACAGCTGTGGGGCTTCCAGCACAGCTACATGGCTATCCACAGCACGTTCCACAGAGACAGAAACACTGTTGGGACCACACGCAAATCATAAATGTAGTACTCAGCAAGTTAGACACCGCAATCTATCAACTCTAATCCTGGATGACCCTCGTCCTGAGTTCAGGTCCAACCAGGTAAATTGCAAAATTGATACTCATGGACTGGGATCAGCTAAATTATTGGATTGAAATAATAAGCTAACTGACTCATCAATTTCCGTCATAATAGAAGATTATTGTGTCCAAGTTTGGACTTGATTTTATGCTTTCCTGTGTGGGGGGATTGTTTAAATAAGTGGCAACCGTGGTCCCAACAGCAGGCCATCTCCACCCTGGTTATATTTGTGGCGGGAAGGCTGCTACCAACTGAGTCATTAATTAATGCCCAAACAAAGTGTCTCTTTCCACCGCTGCTGTGGTTCACCCAGAGATGGGCACATATGGCATCATGCAAGGAACACGACATGCAAGAGCTCCTTGTGTTCTCCCGAGAGGATCCCTCACTCAAAGGTACCCAATGACTGATTGAGGGACAGGGCATTTGGAAGGCGCGGGTGAAGACAGACACCCCTGCCCTTGCTGCCAAACCCGCTCCCATGACATTCAGCCATAGAGTCATAGAGTTGTACAACATGGAACAGACCCTGCCGACCAGATATCCTAAATTAATCTAGTCCCATTTGCCAGCATTTGGCCCAGATCCCTCTTATTCATATACTCATCCAGATGTCCGAGAAATTCCTGCCAGCATTACTAATCTTTGCGTGGGTTGTTCCGGGGGCCCTCTGGTCAGTGTAGGAGTGGTCACTACCTCTCCCAGTGGTACTGTTAAACAAAAGAGCTGCCAGTCTTGGATTGGCAAACAGCTCCCTGCAAAGACCCACCATACCCTGCCCAAGGTGTCAACAGGTTCTTCAGCTGGCTGGTTAAACCAATCCAGGGATGCCTTTCTTGTTAGCTGTTTTCCTGAGGTGACGCATAACCTAGTTGGTTGGACAGTCTGTTATGTTGTTTAAAGAGTTTGAAGCTGCACTAATCATAATGGGACATCATTCAACTAACAGCAAGGTACAGTTCCAGTGAAAGGACAAGAGTAAATGAGGTGGCTAAACTGGATGAAAATATTACTGCCTGCGTGTGTTGGTTAGGTGTAAGGACTAAATTAAGCTAAAGTCAAGCTTGTACTCAGAGTGAGGCAAAGTGATGAATCTGTTATTGTGCTGTTCTGCCCTTCACACATTTGTCAGGTTGCACACAGTTATGCAAGTATTGCTTTTTTTATGCATTCACTTGCCAGACAGAAACTCTTTGTACCTTTCAGTTGACTTGACAGTTATCACATAGTGTAATTATGCCCTCCGGCTGACAGACTTGCTTTTAGAGCACTTTGTGAGCCATTTTGACATGGTTTTTTATCGAGCATGCTCAACCGAAATGAAGTCCTTTTCACATCACACCATCCCCCCACCCCCCACCCCGACCCACTCCCAACCTTCTCTCTCCCAATGCAAATTGAGCCTGTCTCTGGCATGCAGAGAGGCAGAGAGACAGAGAGACACTTTCACGCCACATTGTGGTCTTAAAACACAACAAATGAATCAGTCTCTGCAAAGTCATTTGCATGTGGAGCTTGTTGATTTGAGAGTGCAGTTTTACACTTTAAGTACATAACAAGCCACCAGCTTCAATTAACATACCTGAGCCTCCCAGTTTCAAAGGGCTCCTGAACTGCATTTTTCACTGGGGTTGGGTGGGTGGGGTGAGTGCACAAAGATGAAAGAATTTGAATGAATGGTAAGGATTAGAATGGGGAAGGTCATGGGACAGATAAGGCCATTCAGTACTTCGAGCCTGTTTCTCCACACATTGCTGACCCCAAAGTTCATTATCTTAAAATCCCTAAAGTGCAGAAAGAGACCATTTGGCCCATTGATTCTGCACCAACCCTTGGAAAAACATCTCACTCAGACCGAGCCCTCCATTCTGTTCCCGTAACCCTGCAGATCCCACCTGTAATCCACCTAGCCTGCACATTCCTGGACACTATGGGCAATTTAGCATGGCCAACCCACCTAGCCTGCACATCTTTGAACTTTGGGAGGAAACTGGATCACCCAGAGGAAACACACGCAGACATGGAAAGAATGTGTAAACGCCATACAGACAGTCACCCAAAACTGGAATTGAACCTGGATCCCTGGCACTGAGGTGACAGTGCTAACCACTAAGCCACTGTACCACTATCTCCTCCTCCCCCCCACCCTTCAATATCGTTGAAACCATTTGCCAATTGAAATCTGTTAATCACAGCCTATGAAAGATGCAATTGCTCCCTTCCCCCAAATGTCCATCAGCCTTTGAGGAAAAGAAATTCCATAATTTCACTACCTTGTATGATGAAAGTGATTATTCCTGACATCCAACCTGAATCTCGCAGCTCACTTCTTTTAAAAATCTCATTCTTATATCTCATTCTGGATATCATCACCAATTGGAGTTGTATTTCTGTTTCTAACTATCAAGTCCTTTTTATCATTCCAGACACTTCACCACTCAACCTTGTAAACTCAAAGGAGTGTAAGTCAAGTTTATAAAAACCGTCCTCACAATTTGAGCCCTGTTAATATTCTGGCGAATCCATCTGAACTTTTAGCAGGTTCTGTAAATACTTCCTGTGAGCACAGTAATTGAGATGGGTTCTTGCCAAGTTTTTGTATAACAGAAGCATCACTCTCTCACTTTGGGATTCCAGTCTTCTTGAGGTATAGGTCAACATTGTGTTAGCCCTTTTTTTTGTTCTCTCTGTGTACCCAAACTTCAACAGCCCCTTACAAGCTCTGTGAACTCTTAACATCTAGAAAGACAAAGGCAGCAAATACATAGGAGCACCACCTCCTGCAAGTTCCTCTCCAAGCCACTCACCATTCTGTTTTGGAAATATATCACCGTTCCTTCACTATCACTGGGGCAATATCCTGGAATTCCTTCCCTAACAGCATTCAGGGTGTATGTACATCATATGGACTGCTGCAGTTGAAGAAGGCAGCTCACCGCCACCTTCTCAAGGGCAATTAAAATTCCAAATTCAATGCAAGCCCAATGAGCAATGCTCATATCTCCATTACGAATGTCAAAAAATGCTTACTTGAGTACATAAACCTCCTTGTCTGCCACAGTTTCTGGTATCTCCATAATTAATAAAATATTCTGATGCATTTTTCCCAGATGCAAAGTGAATACTCTGACACCATGTCACACTAAACATTATGTGGCACATTTAGTGTGTCCTTAGAATGACCACAAAAGCAAAATGTTGTGGATCCTGAAAGCCTGCAATTCAAACAGGAAATGTTGCAAATACCCAGCAGTTCAGTCAACATCCGTGGAAGGAGAAATACAGATAACCATTTCAGGTTATCCCATGGTCCTTGATCCTGAATAGCTTGTCTCTAACTCCTTCCCAAGATCCTGTAGATCCTGCCTTTCAGCCTGCTCTTATCCCACTTAACTCTGTTCTGTCTTCCCTTGCCCAGATTCCTTCAATCCATGTTCTTGACACTTCCAATGCCCTGCACTAATTTTGAGGTTTCCTGGTCCTAAGCTTCTCATTATGAATATCCAAACTCTCTGGACCCCCATCGCCCATTACGATGGACCGAGGACTCTGCACATCTTCCTTGATTGCAGGCCCAACCAGTCCCCATAGACTGCCAACCATTTCTGCCTGGTTGAAGTTGTTCTTATATTGTACAACATCTTCCTTAACATTGTCTCATATCAAGGTGTTACATTGTATGAGCCTGCATGTCTTCTCCCTATGTTAGTGCAATATATGAAACATTCCTTGTTTCTGACCTACTCAGGCCTCCTCTGTCACCTCCTATCCAATACATTGATGTCTATATTACCCTGAATTTTAAAGTTTCACAAACTGCTTCCAATTTCCCCTCCTCTCACCTTTATGCAGTCTATCTCTGACTGTTCACTTCCCCCTTCTCTTCATGAAATGACATAACAAAGCATTTCTGAGAATGAGGATGAAGATAATGATGAATCTGAACAAATTATATTGGTCACAAAGGATATTAGTCTGTGATCAATGTGTTAATCACAGACTCCTTTAATTGTGCCATGTTAGACAGTACTGATGCTTCGATAGTCTATGACATCAATTATTTAATATGTTTCTTGAATTAGTAAGTGATTGAGGATGAATGCAAGGCTAAGGAACATAAAAATATTATTTGAGTTAGCTTAGTGATAATGATAACACGTTGAAGTCACTAAAGAGAATTTTGCATCCATGTTAACAATTGTATGAGTATTGATAAAGTCTTTAATGAAATATCTTGGCTGATGAGTGAATGGAAACTTGATTTGGAGCATGATAGTGCAGTAATGTTTGGAAAGTCAGTAAAAGTGCAGTTTACAAAGATATCCCTTTAATCCAACTTGATGTTTCTAATCAGATTGTTGGAGAAGTACTATTGCATGAGTTGATAGGAATCTGACAGTGATACAAGCAAGTTTCATCGAAGTCACACAGGGAATGTAC